ATATTGCTATAGGCTGATGATAATGCTAAAGAAATGGCTAAATTGACACAGCCCAGTATGTCCCCATTTATCATTATTGGTGGTACCGTCGACAAGCCAAATGAGGAGATGGCCATGGCTGGGGAAAATGAGGTTCTCCTCAAAGCTTTTGTAGGCATTTGAATGCTTGATGTGTATGTATTACATTAATGTAATGTGCAATACCCGAAGGTGTGTGTGACCACTTACATGTTTCTTCAAAGAAGCATACTTAAAGTATTTGATAACCAGAACGTTCCAAACAAAGTATTAATTTTGATGTCAGAACTTAGTAAGATTACTAAGATATAGGCTGACCATGAACATGTGGATACATTTACCACTGTATATTGTTAAATTGGCAATGTAAATAATGTTGCAATATTTTTCAATCAGCATTAAATTATTTCAAATCCTAATTTGTTTGCCAATTGAATTTATTCGAGCAGGTAAAGGCTTTTATCTAAACATGCTAAATATTTGCACCGTACGGGTATTAAGAAACACTTGTTGGTGTAGTTCTACACTTTGAAAAGTCAATTTACACCGGTTTGGTGTACGAATGGAGGCAAGAAATTTACACCAACTTTGGGTAAAAAACACTTGCTGGTGTAATTTTACACTTCGAAAAGTCAATTTACACCAGTTTTGTGTACGAATGGAGGCAAGCAATTTACACCATCTTGGTGTAAATAAACACTTGCTGGTGAAATTTTGCACTTCGAAAAGTCAATTTACACCAGTTTGGTGTACGAATGGAGGCAAGCAATTACACCAACTTTGGGTAAAAAAACACTTCTTGGTGTATAAAAACAATTTTCCCGGTGTTAATTTACACCAAATTAAGGTAAAATTAACACCATTTTAAGTGTTTTTTACACCTTCTTGGTGTACGGATGCAGGCAAAGATTTACACCAATTTTGGTGTTGGGTGAACACTCATAAATTTAGAGTGTACGAACTATAAAGGTACATTGCATTTCTTCTCATATGACCCACATATATATATATATATATATATATATATATATATATATATATATATATATATATATATATATATATATATATATATATACCACATACTAAAAATCATATTTGGGGTTAGTCGTACTTTAACCATTAATAAAAACTAGACTAAATTACCTGCTGGAATCAGGAATGAAGGCCTCAATAACTCGTAAGCACCAGCCACATCTCCAAAACTTAGCCTCTCCGCTACGGCCCTGCAAGGGATATATAGAATTGCGTTGTTCTAACATGGATAATATGTTTCCTTTTCATAACTTACAAGCAACACACAACTTAAGCCACGCACAACTTTACATGAAATTGCAATATAGAATTGCTTGAACGATCCCTGTCAGCATGGGTAGCGATCAGAATTACAAATGGAATTGCTCTGATTTCCCGACGAAGGGCCCTTTCACTCGAAAATGTCGAAGTTCTGTTTGTGCTTTTAAGTGGTGTTACGTTTGGTTACAGAATTGCCTCGTTCTATTCAACCCACGCACAACAGAACATCGAATATAGTCTACTTTATAAAGCCTAGAATTGCCTATAGTTCTATTGAAAAACAACGCACAACTGAACGTCGAATATATGTTTAAATGGAGTTGAAAAAGTCTAACTTACATCAGCGCAAAGGTCTCTGAAACGTTTCCGGCGCACGTACGTCGTCTTCATATATTTATCATAGATCTATTTATCATGTAATGGTTCCGCAGTAATTGGCCTATAGGCTGTTGCGGTTTCCAGTCGCCAATTTAAGGCAAAGTGTTAATAAATAAATAAATAAATAAGTAAATATTTACTTATCTTAAGGCACGCATGCATAGCTTAACATAAATTATTATATACCAATAGTCAAAGTCGCATTTTTGTAGTGTTTTATTGGTTGAGAGCATATCACGTGAGAGTGACGAAATTAGGCAGTTTCCCTCGCAACAGCGCAAGAGGGAAACAGTACGTTATTGACCGGCAAATAACAAAATAAAATCACGTGCGCCATCACGTGAAGATGCGACCTTTGGACATGCCTAGTAATTTAAACTTTCGCTTTAAGTAACTGCAGTGTTTAATTTAACGTTTTAACAATAAAATATTTCATGTATTTACGTTCAATTGTTCTTTAATTTGCTGTTTCTTTGACTACTGATATATAATAAAACACTTATTTACTGAGACCTCGGGAAAGCAGTGTGTTTTGTGGAACCTCGACCGTCGATGTTTCCCTCGGCTTCGCCTCGGCAAACATCGACGGTATCCGGTCCACAAAACACACTGTTCTCCTCGGTCTCGGTAAGTAAGTGATAAATATATAGAATAGCCGCACAACAGAACACTGAATCTATGAGTTGCCTTCTCATAAGCCATGCACCGAATATATTTCTAAATATATTTACTTCTCGTATAAAGCCACGCACAACTTAAGGTAAAATATGTAGAATTGCCACGTTCTAGTCAAAATCCTCGTAATCTTGAATTTGGTGGGAGAACACGACATTTAAGCGGAAACCTCGACATACAACATGGTATATATCTCAACAATCTCTCCTCTTTGTACTCTTGTTAAACCCATTACAAAAGGACATGCACTTGATAGTAATCCGACAAGTGTAGTCGTGCTATTGGTTTACTTAGTATTTTGCTATTCATTGAACTCAGAATAGTCCAATAAGTAATAATGCATGCGTACTTTAGTGCAAATCATGATATAAAAGAAAATTTAATAACAATATATTTTGTTTCATATACTTAAGGCTATATACGTTACAATATACCGTGGCGGTGCGAAAAGCGGCTATCCAATACAGAATCATCTGCAACTTTCAGAAGCTGGGGGATACATCTCTCCGTTGCAATAATTCCTCGATCCCAAAATATCTGATAAGGTACTGTACGGATAGCTCCTGCTACTGAAAGCTATCTGGTACAAGTATAAACGTAGCCTGCGATGCAGCTATTATATAAGAACTCTTGCAGTCTGTCGCCAAAATTAGTGTTTAGAGAAACAAAGTTCTGCGGCGGCCTGTAACTGCATCACTAATTCGCAACATTGGTATATCAAATTATTACATTGTATCCTGATATGATATGATAAGCTTTCTCTCGGGAATTATAAGTCAAATTTGAACCAAAGACAATTATGAAAGAAAGAAATCAAAAAATGGTTTTAAAAAATTATTTATTTTAAATAAATATTTCAAAAAAATATTATTTTTAAAAAATATGTAATAATAAAAAGGTATTTGGAAAAAATTTCAAAAAATGTATTATATCAAAAATATATTAAAAAATATTTTTAAAATATCCACGTTTTATCTCGAGTCTCATCCGATCAGCAGTTTATCCTCATATTCGCTCCGCGTTTTATCCTCATATCCGCTCCGCGTTTTATCCACATTTCCGCATATCCTCTTCGTAGATCCGCTCCGATACGTACCCGCCCTCTATCCTAGCCCGATAAGAGATAAGTCAATCCGAACATAGTTTGGGTATGCGTTATGTTTCCAATATTGTACAATGTCAATATCTCCATTTGATTTCGTCATTATTTATTTCACTCCTAAATTAATTACTAAGTACGATTAATCTATCTTCGCGAACTCACATGGTGTTCTGAACACAAGCAGTATTACCCGTTGAATTTTCATTTCATATTTTGGTTATAGCTTACACCGATCTACAGATCAAATTGGTCAATCGAAAGAACAACAATACAGGAAGAGTCGAAATATACCATCCTTCTTTTGGCTGGGGTACTGCCTGTGGTTGGTTTCAGCAGTGGACTAAGGTGGAAGGTCGGGTTGTATGCCGTCAGTTGAAATTCACTGGAGCGAACGCGGTAATGGAGAATAGCCGCCCCTATGGCCGAGGAAGTGGTCCAATATTGCTTGGCAACGTCAAGTGCACTGGTAACGAATCATACATATGGGAATGCAGTCACCCTGGATGGAATGTGTATCGCCCTGACTGTGACCATTCTGATGATGTGGGTGTCGATTGTTACTGATGTCAGGCATGCGGTGATCGATATTGGACTGGAAATTTTATTGATTTAAAGGTGTTTATGTGCGTTTTTCATAACAGGTGGTCCATTCAAACGACATACTTCGATAAAGTAAAATTATTATAGTACTTTCACAATAACTTCTTTTAGGTTTACATGCCGAAAATAAGTATAGTTGTTTTACTTTGTGGAAAACACACGTTAGTTAATTTAGCAGAGATTTCGATTTTCAATATTTTCGTTTGAATTACAAGCGAGAACAACCTACTAGTCAAGTTTAACGCGACCCTTAAATATGTGTTTGTATAAGTCTTCGTACCAATATAATGGATCAAGCAAGTCAGAAATTGATAATGGACCTATTCCCTAATGAGCAAAATTTTGGTCTAGACAATCATTTCACCACAGCTTGAAAGAACATCAGAAAATTAGTAACATTCCGAAGTTTCGTTGCGAAATGTTGTAAAATGCGGATAATATGGCACTGCGAAGTTTGCCGGTTTTCAGTCATTTTGTATTGCGCACAGGAAATTGATACCGCTTTCTGAAAAAAGTATCAATTTCCCGAGCGTAATACAAAATGACTGAAAAACGGAAACGTCGCAGGGCTATATTATCCGCATTTTACAACATTTCGCAACAAAACTTCGGAATGTTACTAATTTTGTGATGCTCTTTCAAGCCGTGATAAAAATTTGTCTAGACTTGTCTAGATCAAAATTTTGTTAATTAAGTAACATGTCCATTGATCCGATCGGGATAACTTTATCATTAAAATTTGCGATAAATTGTTAATGGCTAGTGACGTAAGCCAACTAAGCAGTTCTTATAGGACAGATGATTTAATCATGAATAATAAAATGACTGGATAGAAAGCTTGATGGCGAAACGATGATCAACTCGAATACTTGATGAGAAATTATGAATTACAACAATCACTGCACACTTATAGTTACACGTTGAAATACATGGCCAGAAATTACGGACATGAATTATTCTACTTCCTTCGTAATTTGCATATCACGTTGAAATATGGCTTCTGCAGTAAACAGTAAATTATATTACGCGATGCTGTAAATCCCCAAATCAGAGAATATGGCAGATCGTTTGCAACTTACCTCAGTTGCTGACTATAAATCAAAGTCTGTCGAAATATTTTGCGTAATGTTGACTTGATTTTAGTTAGTGACTATTCTGCATTTTCAGTATTTGTACAGAGGTAATTAAACTCTACTTAAGAATATCGCACTATTGCCACTAGAAACAAACGAAAATGCAGAATAGGCAGTAACTTACACCAGGCAAACAATACATGATATATTTCAACAGACAGTGTTCTGCAACCAGCAATCGAGGCAAATTGGAAACGACCTACCAATATTTCTGATTTTTCGATTTAAAGCATCTCGTAATATCATTTACTCTTTACTGTTTACTACCGAAGCCATATTTCAACGGATTATGTATTCATGATATGCAAAGTCAGTAAGGAAGTAGAATAATCATGTCGGTGATTTCTGGCCATGTAAAAGCAAAATGACCGAAGCAGATAGACCGAAACCATGATTTTAAATAAAAACGTTTAAATTATGTTCTGTGCATAATATACGATAGCAATATAATGGAAATGAAGTTGAATTCCTTGCACACGACTTACTCAGAAAAAAAAGGCATGAAATAACAACAAACCACTTGTTCCTCTACTGTGACGTTTTCGCTTGGTGAGTTGTTTTCGTGACATCGTTTCTCATTCGGTTGACAGAATCAAATACAGAAAAAGACAAAGTGCAAAAACATCATACTTCAAAAACATCGTTAAACCACTCGTGATTTCACTGCAAAATAATTTCAAGTTGCTTATTTAGAGTAGTCCTTCAAATTTCTGATTGTGGAATCAAGAAACAAGAAGTACCACACGCGATTTTACGTTCCACATCCAGTCATATTTTATCATCCATGAGTTTAATTTAATCATGTAAACACGGACTGCCAGGCGGTGGTCGCACTACGACCGCAATGCATTATTTTTTTGGTTTTCTTCAAGATGGCGGATTCGGAAGAGAAAGACAGGTAAGTTTTGAATTGATTTTCTATTTCTATTCAGAGTTTTTACTTTGCAATTCTGACTAAAAAGAAAGCTACACATCGGAACTTTATCTCTTCGTACTATTTAAATCGACAACGTTTGGAATTCTATCAAAAATATCATGTCATTTCAAACCCTTTTATTTTGCCCGATTTCAAAGGTGTCTTTAAATTTGCATATAGCAGGTTAACTGTGCATGAACCAGGTTCGAGTTTCTACTTTATGTGATCTACGATAATTATTCGTGTCCTTTATATGATCGCGCCCTCTAGCGCCCCTTGAATTTGTACCTTTTGGGGACATTCATTTCATGCTATTTTCTGTGCTGATTTTAGGTCTTCCTGCGAAGATCTGTCAAGTTCTACTGCCATGTTGGGAAAGCGGTCATGCATTCCAGAGGGGAATACGCCTGGGAAAAAAAAGACAAAGAGAAAGAGAAACGGGAAAGGCAACACAGTTAAAAAGTCATTGTTTGATAATAACATGATTCAGGGAGATGGCCAAAAATTTGTCAATGGTACTGTTTGGGTGACTGCAGAATTGGCTGCATTGGTTCAGCACATATGCTTGTATTGGGATGATGCACACACTGATAAATGGCCAAAAACAAAAAACATGAAATTTTGGAATGAATGTGCGGTATCTGTCAATAAAATGTGTAGTACTTCTCGAACAGGTTGGTTATTTCAATCTCCAGTTGCATATATTAATTTCGTAAATCTATTGTAACAGTTGTAGTTTGTATTTGCATTAGCTGTGTAGATGGTATATTGCAGGTTTCTGTACAGTTAACAGTGGAAAAGATTTTCACTTTTGGTGTATTTTGTTCAAAAGAATTTGATGTTGAAGATTTTTGGAGTTTGCAATTTCCAGAAAAAATCATTAACACATTAATGGGTCATTC